CAGCACCCCCGATCAGGGGGAACAGCCCCCCCGGGGCCTGGGGCAGCTCTGGGGGCAGCACTCACCTCTGTCAGCGCCGTGTCCCGCGTGTGGAACACGGTGGACCAGACCCAGGCGTTCAGGGACACCTGGAACAGGGATCAGGTCAGGGCACCACGGGGGAGGCACCCAGGGCACCCAGGGGGGAGGGAGGAGCTGCAGCTGGGGGGGATCAGCTGGGCATGGAAAAGGAAGGGTGAAAGGGGAAGGGATGGGAAGCAGGGAAAGGGAAGCAGGGAAAAGGGGAGGGGAAGAGGGAAAAGAGGAGGAGAAGCAGGGAAAGGGAAGAGAAGCAGGGAAAAGGGAGGGGAAGCAGGGAAAAGGGAAGCAGGGAAAAGGGGAGGGGAAGAGGGAAAAGAGGAGGAGAAGCAGGGAAAGGGAAGAGAAGCAGGGAAAAGGGAGGGGAAGCAGGGAAAAGGGAAGCAGGGAAAAGGGGAGGGGAAGAGGGAAAAGAGGAGGAGAAGCAGGGAAAGGGAAGAGAAGCAGGGAAAAGGGAGGGGAAGCAGGGAAAAGGGAAGCAGGGAAAAGGGGAGGGGAAGAGGGAAAAGAGGAGGAGAAGCAGGGAGGGAAAAAGGAAAAGGGAGGGGAAAAAGGAAAAGGGAGGGGAAAAAGGAAAAGGGAGGGGAAAAAGGAAAAGGGAGGGGAAAAAGGAAAAGGGAGGGGAAAAAGGAAAAGGGAGGGGAAAAAGGAAAAGGGAGGGGAAAAAGGAAAAGGGAGGGGAAAAAGGAAAAGGGAGGGGAAAAAGGAAAAGGGAGGGGAAAAAGGAAAAGGGAGGGGAAAAAGGAAAAGGGAGGGGAAAAAGGAAAAGGGAGGGGAAAAAGGAAAAGGGAGGGGAAAAAGGAAAAGGGAGGGGAAAAAGGAAAAGGGAGGGGAAAAAGGAAAAGGGAGGGGAAAAAGGAAAAGGGAGGGGAAAAAGGAAAAGGGAGGGGAAAAAGGAAAAGGGAGGGGAAAAAGGAAAAGGGAGGGGAAAAAGGAAAAGGGAGGGGAAAAAGGAAAAGGGAGGGGAAAAAGGAAAAGGGAGGGGAAAAAGGAAAAGGGAGGGGAAAAAGGAAAAGGGAGGGGAAAAAGGAAAAGGGAGGGGAAAAAGGAAAAGGGAGGGGAAAAAGGAAAAGGGAGGGGAAAAAGGAAAAGGGAGGGGAAAAGGAAAAGGGAGGGGAAAAGGAAAAGGGAGGGGAAAAGGAAAAGGGAGGGGAAAAGGAAAAGGGAGGGAAGAGAAAGGGGAGGGGAAAGGAAAGGGAAGGAGGGAACAAGGAAAGAAAAAGAGAAAACAGAAGAGAGAGGACAAAAGGCAAAATGAAGATGGGAAGAGAGGGGAAAGCGATGAAGGAGAAAGAAGGGCAAGACAAGGAAAAGCGAAGGAAAGAAGGGGAAACAGAGAAAGGCAAGGGAAGGGGGCAGCGGGAGGCAGGGCACGGGCAGGGTCGGTGCTCACCCCCGCGAAGGCGACGCAGGTTTGGTACATGGGGCTGGCAGGGGGCACTGCCGCGCGGTACCGCCGCAGCATGGCCAGGCTGGCCAGGCCGTTCAGCAGCGAGGCGAAGGGCGG